TCGGCTCCCTCGGCCAATAAAGCGAGATGAGCGCCGCAACCCCAGAGTCAGCCACGACTGGACCTAATGGTCAGGGGTCCCTTTACCTTTAAGGAAAAGCAGGACATTCTGAGATCAAATCAGAAACTGGGATGCCTTGTATAATTCCGGAACTGTCCCTGAAAAATAGGGACACTAGCCAAGGGTCTGAAAGGGGTGTTCTGGGAGTGGTACTTCGGTGAGATCCTAAGAATGCTCAGCTCAGTCACATGACCTGTCAACCTGATGTAGAACACTATTTCAAAGGGCTGTTTTCCTTCTGCCAAGCTTAGGCAAAGCAGGAGCAACAGCCCTGCTGCTGAACAGGGTTTGGATCCGGTGTAAACTTACGTAGCTTCAGTTACGCTAGCTTGAGTCATTCGTGTGTAGAATCTCCTCATCTCCATTCAAAGTATACTAGCTTCAGTTACGCTAGCTTCTGTCCTACGTCCCGTTGTCACTTGTCATAAGATTGCTCCCCTTCTCCTTGTGCCCTCCATCTTTCCCAACATCAGGGTCTTTTCCAGGGAGTCTTCTCTTCTCATGAGGTGGCCAAAGTATTGGAGCCTCAGCTTCAGGATCTGTCCTTCCAGTGAGCACTCAGGGCTGATTTCCTTCAGAATGGAGAGGTTTGATCTTCTTGCAGTCCATGGGACTCTCAAGAGTCTCCTCCAGCACCATAATTCAAAAGCATCAATTCTTCGGCGATCAGCCTTCTTATGGTCCAGCTCTCACTACAGCTCTCATTACATCTAAATGTGCTTAACTATGGCTGGGGGCTTGCCCAGTATACGTTTTAGGAAAAGTGACTCAACTTTCCCAATGTGCAAAATAGAGCTACTCCATTTCAGACTTCTGTAGACGATTCAATAAAAGGATGGCCAGAGTGGCAGAATGATTATTGCCAACAATCAGGCAGCTACAATTACAATTACACTCAAATGGAAGACATTTCATAGCACATTCTTCAGTCTGCTTATTTAAGTGGCTTACAAACCTTTGTTTTTTGTCCTCTCTCCAGGAAAGGAAAATGGGAGCCCGAAGGTCTTGCTGCTCTCTTGGTAACTATCCCGTTCCCATTGTTGATACAGACTGTCTCATGTTGGTAGCCAGCCCACACTTGACCAAATTTCATTCCTTCCTAACCTAAGATGACCTACAGCTATTAAAAAAAACAACCCTGTGTCTCTCATATAGACACAAACAGAAAATGCTAGATTGAATTCTCAATTACCCTTGTTTTGCATGGTCCAGTACACACACCCAAGCCACAGTCTATCTAAGATAATTCAATTTGGTTTAATTACTGATTTCCGAAGTTTGACATATTATTTTTGTAGCAAAATTTGCTGAAATGCCAAAAAATGAATAATCTCACGAGCAGATAACAGTGTGTAAATTGTGTGAGGCTTTTTCAATTTAGACCCTCTAGTTTCCTTCTTTGAGCCATTACCCAAAATGCAGAGAGGGAGATTGACTGTACACATGGTGTAACTGACAAAAAAATGGAGCAAAAACACATAAACATATCTCAAATGGGAAAGACCCACCACCTGAAAAAAAATGAATTTTCATTACACTGTTCAATTCCTGAAGTGCATTTCTTGAGAACAAAATCCTTGCTTTATCATCCCACTTAATAATTTAGTCATGTAGGGGGCAATCCTATGGCAAGATCCACCAGGTGAGGAGCTTAGGATACAGCAGATCTCAGTTGTAGCTGAGGGATTCCTGGCTCAGATAGTATTCAGTTCCTGATCCCCAACTCTGCTGAAGATACTCTGCCATAATTTGCTCAGCTAGCCACTAACCTAAAGACAGCAGGACTAGTTGTGTAGGTTTGGCATTATTTGAATTTACGCTGCTCACAGTTAACAGAATTTGCATTCCATTTGTCTCAAACTAATAGCAATCACATTTGTTATAATCTTTGCTCCAACATGGTATAGTGCTAGTACTAAGATAAGAAATCTACAGAGAAAGGATGTGGGGGCAGAAGAGAAATGCAAACCACAAACTCTTTTTCTTAGAAATGTGTTTATAAAAAAAGTCATAGCATTCAAAAGCAATGCTTATTATACAATATAAAATAATAGTAACATGGGCCTCTATGTATTTATTGGAAAAGGATTGTATTGCAAAAATCTATTACAGCATTTACAGTATTGCAACATTTGCAATAGGATAAAATGTCTGTTGAACAATTACATAAATACTCTTAACAAATCTCTTTGTCTGCTGTAGACTTTTCCATATTCCCAGCTGCGTGGTGTTAATCTAATTCAAAGGCACAATCTTGAAAATGTTGCTGCCATTTCTCAGTCCTTCCTGAAAGAACCCAATTTTTTGCCCCTCAAGAATTTCAACATGACATGGAAGGACTTTGCTAGAATGAAGACTTTTTGGAGATGCGAAAAGTACCTAAAATTATCAACAGTTGTCTAATGATACTTGGCCCTTGACTTCTCAGTAACACTGATCAGATCGAAGAGAAGCTGTTAAATTAATAAAACACCAAGAAACATCACATTTGCTAGTTGCAAATGATCATATTAGCTGCAGTTTTCCCCCAACGGGATTAACAAAGTGCACCAGTTATCCATGTCTGTACAATTTTCAAACATTAAATACACATACAGTAAGTTTTTAAATATTTTGTATCAAATACTTTAGGACAAATATAAATTACAGATTTTTTTTTCAAACAAAACATACACCTGAATATAACTTGATATTACAGAATATAAAAAATACCCATTTTGCCTTTTTTGGGGGGAAACTTATGCATTTGCAAGTTCTGCATGATGCCGAGAATCCATTGGCAGGACTTCCTTTCAAATTAAAAAGGCTCAATGCTCAATGTGTGGGACTCCTATCCTTTCTTGTACAATGGCAAGCCAATTGCAGAACCAGAGAATCGCAAGAAGCTTAACGGATCAGGCCAGCCTCAAATAATTTTATCAGCTAATGACTAAGAAGTTGATTCTGACCTGCAGTTACCATATTTTTTGCTCCATAAGACGCACTTTTTTCTTCCTAAAATGTAAGGGGAAATGTCTGTGCGTCTTATGGGGCGAATGTGTGGTCCCTGGAGCCGAATTGCCCAGGGGAGAAAAGCAGATAATGCTCTCTTTTTTGAAAGAGGGAAGTGGGTGTTGAAACAAAGCCGCTGATCAGCAAGCAATTGGGAGCGAGATAAGGGACGCTTGCAATAAAGGAGTCTGCCTTTGTTGGGGAAGTAAAGACAGCAAACTTGCAAGGAGAGGAGACAGGAAGACTAAAGCAATGAGGAGAGAAATTAGAAGAAAAGGAGGAGCAAAAAACTGCTCCAGCTAAGGAAAAGACACTTAAGGCAAACAAGAGGGAAGGGAGTCTTGAAAGGAAGCAGCTGGTCGCTAAGCGATCAGGAGGGAGATAAGGGACGCTAGAGATAAAGGAGGCTGCCTGGGAGGGGGGAGGTAAAAGCCCATGGATCCTCAGGATTTTTAAATTGGGTCACCCCAAATTCACCACAGATCACATAGCATGTCCATGGCTACAGCCTGCACCAAAAAAACCACACATCCACTGTTTTGTGGGGCCGCAATGGCGAAAAACGTGGTTACAAACCACAAATCCACATGGATTCTCAGGGTTTTTGCATTGGGCTACCCGAAACTCACTGTCAAATCACATGTCTGTGGCCACAGTGTGAACCACACAAAATCATACATCCACTGTTTCATTCAGAATATTTTCTTTCTTGTTTCCTCCTCTAAAAACTAGGCGCGTCTTATGGTCAGGTACATCTTATGGAGCGAAAAATACGGTATATTGTGCAAGCCACAGGAACCTTTTTCGTGGCATGACTGCAGGGAAGAAGGGACATACATCTCCAGGAACACTGATCAAAAGCTTCTGCGCTGGGTTAAGAAGACCAGGTTTACAAACTCCATGTTCTTCTAGTCAAAGCAGAGAAGCTTTAAATCTCCTTCTCTTATATGTGAAGGGCAGGTGGAGGGTGTATGAACCTGAGGCTTGGTTGTTGCACATAAACCAAGCCAGCATAATTCCAGCGCTTAGTAATTCTGCACACTTTCTGTAGCAAGCCTCACACGAGACACGGTGGCACACAGAAGGGAAGGTGTTTCTTACTGAAAGCATGTGAAATTTCAGGGAAGTTGTGACATACAAAGAAGGCTGGAAGCTTAGAAAACGGGGGGAGATGGTCTCAGCATTCAAACTAGTTGCCCACCTGTGCTCTAGCTCCTATTGAGCAATTTAAGGTTTTTTTTAAAAAAGCATGCTGAATTCATTTTGATGGACTCATGTCAAACACTTCATGCTTTAAAGCAGCCTTTCTCAACCTTGGGTCCCCAGATGTTGTTGAACTCCAACTCCCATCACCTCTAGCTAGCAAGGCCAGAGCTCAGAGATGATGGGAGTTGTAGTCCAACAACATCTGGGGACCCAGAGGTTGAGAACCGCTGCTTTAAAGATTACTTCTTGTAAGGAACATTCAACACCTTCCCACACCTAACTATATTTTATTAGCACCTCTTAACACGCCAAGTGGGGACATTTCTTGGGTCTGCCGTTACATCACTGAGCAGCTCATTTGCTAAACCCAAGTTGCTGTTTTCTGAAAAGCCATTTCTCAGCGCATTGACTACGCCATATGCATTTCAAGGCAGCAAACACAGGTTGTGACACACTGACAACCCTGGATCTTTGATGGGAGGACCTGTATGTTAAATGTGTTTCTAGACATTACAGGTTACATCAAGATTAAATTAGCTGAATTTAATTCCTACCAGAATCAATGGGACTGAAGTTAGGATTAACGTTTTCCACTGATTTCAATGGAGTCAAAGTTCAACTAACTTTAGTCTGGATCCAACTCAACTACCGTATTTTTCTGTGTATAAGACTAGGTTTTCCTCTTCAAAAATTAGGGGACGTCTTATACACGGATACATCTCCCCCCACCCCATTTTCTTAAATCTGAGTCCCCAAAAATAGGGGGTGTCTTATACATGGGGGCGTCTTATAGACGGAAAAATACGGTATGTTTAGAAAGGCACTAAAACTCTTGGTAGATGTATGTAACCTTTTTAAAAATGGGATGTGAGTTAGTCCTCATTATCACTGCATTGTCGAATAGTCAATCACCCCACACTTCCAGTGTCACCTAGATATGCAATAACTTTTCCCTTTTTCATTGCTGGTCTTCCATCACAACAGTAAAAGCACTCTTACATTGCAGGAGAAAACGCATGTGGCAACATGCAAGTCAGGAACAACTTCAGTGACAGAAGTTACAAAATGTACAACACTGGAACCTTTGGCGGCATATCCCTTGGCCAGAGCGGGTTGGGGGGAGTGGAACAAAAAGAAAACCAATTAAGGCACATAGGTACAAAATACAACACACACAAGATGCAATTCTGCCTGCAGAAGAACAAATATTTTCATCATCTGGAAAACAAACAAGGAAAAGTGGCAATTCTATTTTTAATTAAAGATTCTAACATTTCCCCTGAATCCAGGTCTAGAGAGACTTTTAAACTGGGCAAAATAAAATTGGCTTTTCAAATGCTTTGGTTATGGGGGAAAATAGTACTAATGTTTATTTAAAAGTGCCATCAGTGCACAGGTTGCTTTGCAGACCAAACATGCAAAACAAACCAAATGTTAAAAATCCACACTTCTAAATCTTCCATCAAAATGAAAGCTGGAATCCTTTACACACTTACCTAGGAGTAAACCCCATTGAACTCCTTGAGATTTACTTCTGAGTAGATATGTACAGGATGGTTTTGTAAGTTAGTTGCATTTAGTTCCCCCAAAATAAATGGGACTTTTCATTATTGATTTCAATGGAACTTGCATGCAACTAACTTAGTCCGGATTCCACCTTTTGTTTCTTGAGCATCACGAAAAGTGTGCTCGGATTTTCAAGTACGTCTCTAAAAAAAATAGTTTAGATGCTTATTATGGACTGATGCCAATTTATATCCACATATCCCAAATCCATAACCCAAATTTCAAATTGAGCATTGGAAAATGAACTATCCTAAGTGCAATTGGGCTGTAGAGAAGACTGTCTGCAACAAGGATAGCCAATGTGGTGCTCACCGGATGTTCTCGGGGTACAACTCCCATCAACCCCTAGTCAGCCTCTCCAATGGCCAGCAGTTATGGGAGTTGTGGTCCGAGAAAAGATGGAGAGCACCACACTGACTACCCCTGGTCTAGGGAGAAATGATCGTTCCTGTACAATTGGATCCGAAAAGCCCTTCCATCACATCTCCCATAATCTGGTCCATCTGAATGAATAGGCTACTTCCCCTCTGAAAAATCCTGAAGCAAAACTCAATCGATATCCCTTATTTTAAAGGCCCCAAAGTAAGTTCCTTCCGGAGAGCGATCCAGTAATGACGGGTATGATACCTGGATACTTATTATTTCACCAGATTTCAGTTTGAAAAACCCTCCTACATTTACAGAATAAAAATGAAATTCTGAGTCTCCTGACCAATTCTTTGTGCTTCCTCCTTTCATCAAAACTACAGGGTTTCTCCTTTTAGCATCTGTTTTTATGACATATACCATCAACTGCAGAATTTGTCCAGTTAGGTTTCCCAAAGCTTCATGGTGTCTAAAGCATACATTGGTGTACAGATAATAAAAGCCATCATGATTGACTTCCAATTTCCCATCACTGAAGGTCATGTTCCGTATGTTTGCCCAGCCTTTGTCGTGATGCCAAGATGTAAGGTTCACTTTTTTGGTACCTATGAGGGAAACAGATAAGAAAATGTATATCTTACTTTAAGTTTAATGTCACAGGTGCATAATATATTGTTTTTTCAGCCATGAGTTGGTCTATACCTAGAATTGATTTTACTGTTATTAAGGCAGCCCTGCATAGAGAAGCTTTTTAATGTGTAATGTCCAGAGCCTTCAACTTGACTTTACTCTTAAATCTCTCTTAACTTAATTTCCTCATTTTTTCTGGTCTCATTCCAACTCCACAAGTCTATGATTCGATGACTCTTCTAGCTATGCCTGGGGAAGCAAACTCAGATGGCCATTTAACGACACCCATGATGGCTGTAGTCATGAACAGAGATGCTCATCTCTCGGCCCCAGCCGAAGGGTTACTATGTACCCCAGCTGTTTCAAAATGGGATGTGGGTAGGGGACATGGAATAATCTGCACAGAGAGCAGCTTATACAGATTATAGGTTTTCCACAGTATTAGGCTATCCATTCAGTGAAGTGTGGCTAAGAATATTGGATTCCACTTGGACAGAAGGAAGTGGTCAGAACAGAATCATAACTGTCATCTGATTTTAGCCAATTAATCATCAATTCATTTTAAGTAAACGGTTTTTCTGTACGCTCTGGTTTCCGTCACTATGTTCCGTTGCGCCAGAAGCGGTTTGGTCCTGCTGGCCACATGACCTGGAAAGCTGTTTGTGGACAAACACCGGCTCCCTCGGCCTGAAGTGAGATGAGCGCCGCAACCTCATAGTCGCCTTTGACTGGACATAACCGTCCAGGGGTCCTTTACCTTTTTTACCTTACCTTTTAAGTGAACATTCATACTACCCGAACTGAACATATATGTATTTTGGTGTTGTTGAAGGAAGCGTAACATAACTTACAATTTAATCAACAGAAGCCTGCATTAAAAGGGAAAGACCATTTAAAAACATTTCCTTTTTCACCCTCTATTCTGGAAACACACCAAGAGCCAAGATAACCCCAGATAATGGGAAGTATGCCCTTATATCCCAGCCCTACAAATTGTTGACATAATTTAGGAGACATGCTTGTGGATCAGCTATCATAATAGCTTGGAATATTTCATGAATTGTGGTCATGACCAATGCTTCCTTGCTTTCCAGAATTTCCACTGCAAGATTTTAACCAACTTTATGCAAAGTTGAATAATTACATGCCTTACTGGGGGTGAGGGAGATCTGAAATCAGGAAGCCTCACAGAAGTTTTGCCATCTTACAAAAACTCCACGACAGTTTGGACTTAATGAAAGCTTAATTTAGAAGTTTAAAGTATCTATTTTCATACTTGTTTATATATTGGCTCAACCAGCTACAGCAAACCAATCATTTGCATAAACCCTAGTTCAATTCAACCTGCGGCTTGGCCTCCCAAATTTACAGATAAAACAACAGGTTAGAGCCGCTTGTCTCGTTTCTTTTTCCATCTCCTCAGTTCACTATTCCAGGCAATGAAAGGAGACAATTGCCATTAAAATGGTTTGTCAATTTGGATTTCCCATGAAGCTACAGTTAATGCAAACCAAGGTTTTCAAGCCAACTTCAAATCATGACCAGATTCTACTTTGCCATCCATTGTTTGAACAATGGTTTATCAATTCAGACATCACACCACACCATAGTTGAGTGTTCTTAACCATGGTTTTGCACAATAATGTAAACTGGCCCAATTCAGACAGCATAATATTGATAGAAACAAGATGAAAAAGGAGCTTACCAGCTGGAATTTTATTGCCATCGATTATGAGATGGGCCAGGGGTGCTTTGTCAGGCTTGTTTTTCTTGGGCAAATCTAGCCATGACGCTCCCATTGTAGCTAAAAGCAAGACATCTTGTTAAAATCACCACAGAAATCTCATAAGATTTAAATAATATCAAGTAATGAAGCCACTATCATACTTACATTTATCTGATCTTGACTGATCCTTGCCAATAATAATACGCTGGACTTCCTAAAAATGGAAGAAACAAAAGTTAATTTTGCATAGTGAAGCTACAGCTAAATTTGTCGCACGCTCACAAATCCTGAAAAACTAAGAGATGCTGAAGTTCGTGACAGTTTGCAAACCATACCATCTAGTTAAAGTGGCAGCAAGATGCAAACTGCTGTGCCCACTTTGAGCTAATTTGTATGTAATGCTTTAAGTTTAAACCATAGTGTTTAGTGTTACAAAAAAGAGCTGCAGTAAATCTGTAGGTTCATAAGGTTCCCTCTCCTTCTTTGCCATGGCTGCAAGGAGGAGTTTGGAACTTTCTACTTAGCATTTTAGATGAACTGCAGCCTGCAGTTGAAACAGACCTTGGACAGATTTGGGGCTAATTCAAATCACCATTTATTAAGCTGGCTTGCTTTAATTAACCATTGTTAAAATTAACCAGAGTTTAGCAAAAATGGCACCCACAAATCAAATTCTTCATACATTTCCCCAGCCAGTTTGGACGGCTCCCAACAGAATATTAAAAAGCACGATAAAGCATCAAACATTAAAAACATCCCTAAACTGGGCTGCCTTCAGATGTCTTCTAAAAGTCGGATAGTTGTTTATTTCCTTGACATCTGATGGGAGGGCGTTCCACAGGGTGGGCGCCACTACCGAAAAGGCCCTCTGCCTGGTTCCCTGTAACCTCACTTCTCGCAGGAAGGGAACCGCCAGAAGGCCCTTGGAGCTGGACCTCAGTGTCCGGACTGAGCGATGGGGGTGGAGGAGACCATCTGAACCCACCTCTCTGCCAACCTATCATGTTGCCTCTTGCAGTTCATATGTGGACATATAATTATGTTTGCTGTGGCTGATTGGGGATGTTGCCTCATATCTTGGTTTTTGTTAAAGGCATGAAGCTGGATTTGCATGGCTTAACTGTTAGGATTCTTGCTCCATGCTTGCAGTCATGGGATTGTTGTCTATCACATGACGCTGTATGTTTTCATTCCACAGTGTGGGAAGTGACAGAGACAGGATGTTTATGTTACTGTGTTCTGTGATGTGGGACTATTGCCCTTTGTTTTTTCTCTTTGCTGTCTGAGAAAGAGGAAGGAGCTAAGTCAGAATGCTCTGGCTATATTATATGTAAATAAAAGTAGATTAGCCAAAATGCTGAGCTATTGAGTCTGTTCACAAACTGCAAATACTCTGCAGGATCCTAAGTGTGCTGATGTCCCTTGGTATCAGTCACTGTCATGTTCGAGCTGTAGAAAGCTTTTGAAGCTCCCGAACAATCGACCAGGAGGGAGAGAACATGCCAGTCGGGCATGTGTCTCTGCCAGGGACCTACACGCGAGTAGGACGATCCTAACATTAACACACTGCAGCGGCAGAAAAAGTTAAAGAATTTCAATAGGGAAAAATAAAAGGTTCTACACAGGAAGAACCAGCTGCACAATTTAAAGTCGGGGACACTGGGTGGCACATGGAAAAAGATCTAGGGGTCTTCATAGACCACAAGCTTAACATGAGTCCACAGGGTGATACAGCAGCAAAAAAGCTAATGCTATTCTAGACTGCATCAACAGAAGTATAGCGTCCGATCAAGGAAAGTAATAGTCCCACTCTAGTCTGCCTTGGTCGGACCTGGAATGCTGTGTCTAGTTCTGGGCACCACAATTGAAGAAGGGTGTTGACAAGCTGGAATATCCCAAAACGAACAAGGGTCTGGAAACTAAGCCTTATGAGCAACTGCTGAAGGAGCTGGATATGTTTAGCCTGGAGAACAGAAGACTATGATAGCCATCTTCAAATACATTGATACCTCTGGATGCAAACAGGATCCTTTCCGGAGCCCTGTTCGCATCCTGAAGCGAATGCAACCCACGTCTCCGCGTGCGCGGGTCGTGCTTCTGCGCATGCACATGATGTCATTTTGAGCATTCCATTACTTCTGGGTTGCCACAGAGCGCAACCTGAAAACGCTCAACCTGAAGCTACTTTAACCTGAGGTATGACTGTATCTAAAGGGCTACATTCCCATGAAAACTGAAGAAGAGACAGTGTTCAATAACTCTCTCTCTCTCTCTCTCTCTCTCTCTCTCTCTCTCAACACAATAGAGAGAAGCGCTCATGTTTCTGTGTGAATGCATGTGACAGAAAGAAGTACAGGTTAATGTTCTCCCAAAGAAGCAAGAAGGAGAAATCTGTTGGAAGGAGAAAGTGGAAACCTCTCAGAAGGAACTGCATGGCCTGCCTGGGTCATGTACAGAGGGCCGAGTGCAAATACAGAAAGAAAGAAAGAAAGAAAGAAAGAAAGAAAGAAAGAAAGAAAGAAAGAAAGAAAGAGAGAGGAGTTTGTTTGAACGTTTAAGAAAGAAGCTGTCATCTTCAACTAAGTAAAACTAAGCCCCTGCTTTGTGAATAAGTACTTTGCACATATTCTTCTTTAGCTATAGGTTGTGAAAGGAAAAGCTTTTGAATATTTTAAGAAGTGTTTGGGCATTGTTTTAATTTCAAGGAAAGTGTCAGTAGCACAATCTGAGCATAACCCAGATAGGCTGCCTAGAAGTGACTGTGTAACAGGCACCGAGAAAGAGAAAAGATCACAATCATTATCTTCCAGGAAATTCACTGGTTTCTATCTCTGCAGCTCAGGAAGTAAACTGCAGAGAAAGCAAACTGGTTCAGAATGCTGAAGCCACAGAAATTGGTCCAGTGAATCTTTATAACAACAAATAGCACAACATGGGAAAGGGGACCGTCCACTGAAAGCAAAATATCCCAATACCTGACTGGCTTGCAATATTTGCCAGGTTGAACGGGGGCGGGGGGCAGATGAGGAATGAAGAATGTGGACCAGATGGGGCAGCCCTACAGGCTTCATCCAATACAGAGGTCTGCCCCCACCCCCCTGGTCACATCATCCACAACTGGGTCAAAGAGTGAATTCCAGAAGGCCAGATTCTGTCACTCCTGCACGACAAGTTGCATCTATCAAAATCCCCTCTATTCTGCAATTATGAGAAGCCATGCACTCCACGTATAGTTACAACATTTCAAGGGGTTCCTGTTGCAGGTTGCAGTTTAGGTGGGCCCTAGCAATGGGCACATTGAAGAATATTCACACGAGTCACATTTGGCCTGACGCTAAACAGTTTTTAATTCTAACCCTACGAAAAGCACTTTGCATCCTCACATTGCCAACTCAAAAACAACAGCGACATTGAAGATGGCTTTGCAGAGTCTTGCGAATGCTACACAACGTTGTGTAATCCTAAACAAAACGAAAACAGCCTCTGTGAGATAGTATTTTTATCCCCTTGTTGCAGAGAAGGGTGGGCTGAAGAGAACGTGGTTTGCTTACGGTCACCTCCAGAGTTCATGGCAGAGGCAGCATTTGAACCATAGGGCTTCCCTGACTCTCAGCTCCCTGCCTCAACTTCTCCCCTTCCGCCCCAGGACTGCGAGGCCAGACTCTCCTCAAGCACTCTCTCAGACGCCAACGTTTCCTCATGAAAGGCCACCCTGGAGGTCCAGCCGATGGAGTGCTTTGTTGCCATGCGCAAGACGAGTCCAGGCCTGAGTTTTCCCAAAGGTGACGAGGTCTGGAGCCCAGCCAAGGGGACGGGGACAGAGAAAAGTATCACTCCACAAACTGTCTCGCAGTTTTCTGTTTGCCCGTCTTGCCCTCCCGCTTTTTAAAGAGTGGGTTCTGCAGCTCTGGAGTGGCAAAGGCCTCAAGCAGGAAATCAACAAACAGACTACAAGAACAAAAAATGTAATTTTGCTACTTGGTTTGAATGGAGCTGGGGAATTCAGGGACAAGGGCCAAGATCCAAGTGAGAAAAGTGGCACCCGAACCTTGCAGGTGTCTAAATGGAAGCTAGAGCCGCAGATTTCAGCAGAGAATCGAAAAGGCTGGAGACGGCGTTCCAAGTTTAGTCACTATCCGAACAAGCCGGGAGGGTCCAGTTCAGAGGCATCTATTCCACGTGAGGCGGCTGCCCCAGACTTTGGACAATGCTCTGTCGCAGTTGACCAGGAAGAGGCCAGGACATTTTTTATTTACTAAGCTTCCCCATTAGCAAGGCTTCCATGAGGCGAGGTGAAGCAAGTCCCCACTGTTGCCAGTTCCACTGCGCTGCCGCCGGCCCTGCCACAGCTTCGTCTGTGCCACCACTGCTAATTGCACACAATGCTGCTCCTTTTGCTGGTCCAACCGCTGCTCCATCAACCTGAACTCTTCAAGGAGTGCTTCAATTCCTCCCTCCATTTTGACTTCACAAATGCTCACAGGCCTTTTCTGCTCGGAAACACAGATCCCACTTCTGACACCAGTGTTACACGCCACCCCAATCTCCCCCAAGATTCCAGGGGCTGCAGGTACGCTATCCAGGGTTAGTGTTTCCTTCAGGAATTAGGCAGAATACTGAGGCTCGCAGCAGCAGCATCCCAAAAAAACCAGCTGATTACATAGCAACAATAAGCCTAACGCCATCTTTCTCCCGCTGCCTAACTTGCACTGCAGAGCACAACCCAGCATAATGTTTCCTGTCTGCTTCCTTCGCCCTTAACTCCAGCTGATTTCCTGTCCCCTGACCTAAATTCTGGTCCAGGGAAGGTCCCTCTTTTGATGTACTAAAGCTCATTACCCCAAAGGGGATTAGCTTTCCACACCTATTCACACTTAGCCCTTGAGAGAGGGAGGAAGCCCACAAATCTGCAAATGAGCTTTGCCCTTTCATCCCCCTGTGGCACCTAAATGGCTTATTCCCAGGCGGTGTCAAAAGGAAGTTGTTGTTGTTGTTGTTGTTTAGTCGTTTAGTCATGTCCGACTCTTTGTGACCCCATGGACCAGAGCACACCAGGCACTCCTGTCTTCCACTGCCTCCCACAGTTTGGTCAGACTCATGTTTGTGGCTTCGAGAACACTATCCAACCATCTCGTCCTCTGTCGTCCCCTTCTCCTTGTGCCCTCCATCTTTCCCAACATCAGGGACTTTTCCAGGGAGTCTTCTCTTCTCATG